TCCATATTTCTATCCTTCCATCCTTCTATCTACCCACCCCATCCATCCACCCATCTACTCACTCATTTAGCCATCCGCCCACCTACCTACCCATCTATCCACCCGTCCACTCACACCCTTCCGTCCATCAATCTTTGTCTCTCCTTCTTTTCTTCATTCGCTCATTTCTGCCATTCATTTATCCACCTAACTAAACGAATGGACCAACCTGTGCCCTATATCCAGCTCAGCTCTACTACAGACACTGTTGAACATAAGAGGGACAGAGGGACGCTGTGTGACTGATGAATGGAGAGACGGAATGCTGGACTTTCCATTAGGAAAAGGCAAGAACAAACCCCTACCAGTGTACGTACCCAGAAGCAAGGTACAGCTCTGGAGAGGAAGCCGAGGGGGTGCAGAGCGAGCTACATCTGATGGACAAGATGCCCAGCTGTCTAGAGAGTGAAGGCCATCGCCGAGAGCCTCCAAGGCTGGAAGCTTGGCAGAGGACAGAGGGAGAGGTTGTGACAGGGACAGAGAGCCCAGGCTGAGAGTGAGAACCACCAGGGCTAGAGGAGGGCGCGTGAGCAGTCACCTGGAGTCGGGAACTCATGGCCTTGGAATCCAAAAAGACTGAGGACCTCAGGGTGGGGGCCAGGGCAGAGGGGCGGTTGCAGAAATGGCGCACAGCCCTGGCCCTGTGGGCAGATGGGTGAGTGTTCACAGGGCACACGGATGAGGCTGGGAGAGTAAGGGCAGGACACGGGGAGGCTTGCCATTCGGAATACACACGGGGCCATGTGGGCGGCAAAGTGAGGGTGCAGCCTCAGAGGGGACGGTGAATTTTGAGGTTTCAGACACGCCACCTCCTCACCTGGTGTCTGAGCCCCAGCCAGGGCCTGCCACGCCCAGCTGTGTGACACTAGGCAGGTGGGCGTGTTCTCTGGACTGAGACACCCACATACACAGGAGCCAAGCCCACTCCCCCTGGGCCCTGCAGGGAGCTGATCAACAGGCCTGCCTTAGAAGAATGCTGCTCATTTGCCTTCCCTAACACAAGGGGCCGTGCCTGTGTGCGTGCAGCCCCAGGCCTCTGGGGGCCTTGGTTTTCTGAACTGCGGCCACCACACCTCCCCAGCCCCCTGCCCTGCCACGCTGAGGTCATGGCTCGGGGGGCAGTGGTCAGGGCACATGAAGCAGGCTGGCATCCCCTTCCAGCGGAGGACTCGGAGCCAGCACAGGAGGCCGCAGGCTGGGAAAAGTCCAGATGCATTTTCCACGTCCTCACAACCCTAAGAACCCCTGGCAGCACTGCCCCACCCGCCTCTTGTCCTCAGACCCCACCTGGCAGCAGAGGGTCCTCGGTACCCTCACCACCCACGCAACTTGAGACAAGTGTCCATTGCCTGGCCATGGACAGTGGGGCAGTAGAATGCACTGACTAGGAATGGTCCCACAGAGCAGCCACGTGGTTAGATCACCCCGCACCCTCCACGTCGGGCGGAGCCACCGGTGGACACTCTGGCTTCACACCTGCCTCCTCAGGAACTTACAGAGAAAGCCCAAGCTGACAGCGTGGTCTCACTGCCGCGTGAAACCTGCAGGTGCTTGAGAGCAGGGTGGGGTTCTGGCCCCCAAGCTGCTTCCTCCTTGACCATGGCCCCCTCCCTCATTCAGGTCAGCAGTAGAGGAAGGCTTCTTCCACCTCAGCCCACTCCTGCCTGCTTGGAGAGGGCGCCAGCACAGGAGGAAATGCAGAGTTACGGTCACCAGGGGGCAGCAAAGCAGTGATCAGTGGAGCCAGCCTGGGCCCAGGTGCTCCTTGACAAGGGCGCTGTCTGGACAGAGGTAACGGGCTCACTGTCCATGTTCACCACACAGCAAGAGATGTGGGCTCTGGGCCTCCCCTCAGCCTTCTCAGCACAAAAGGAGGGTGCTGGCATCCCCAGGAACCTCCAGCCTCCCCAGACCTCAGGGCCTGCTTCTGAGTGGGGATCACAAGATGCTGGGGAAAGGGAGTACAGCCAAACAGGCCTGGCCAGGCCACTGGGGCCACTGACCCTACATCACCAGTGGTCCTCGTTCTTCCCTGAGGGGACTCTGGGGGTGACTACACCCCTCCTCCTTCCTCTCTCCCTGGAGACTTTGGGAGGGAGGGCTGGGTCCCATTTTCTGTAGAACAAAGTGGACCCTACAGTCAGTTCTGACCAGGGCTGAGGAGGCAGAGCGGCCTGGCCAGGGAACAGGAGCTGACACCAGCCAAAGCCATGCACCCAGCCCAGCGACCACACCAGAGAGGCCGAAAGCACAGTGCCACCTGGGAGAGGCCGGGCATGGTGGAAGGGCACTGTTTTCTGGGGGACAGTCTATGAACAATGCACACTCTGCAGGGTTCCAGCACCCCAGGAAAAGCCACGGGGCCTCAAGTAGATACCTCGGGGTGTGGTGCACCCTGCTCTAGGCCTGGATTCTCTGTGCCCTTGGCTCCCAGAGCCCCAGTCCTGGGACTGACAGAAAGAGTGCAGAGTGGACAGCAGTGGACCTGGAAGGAGGGCGTCCCCAGGGGAAAGGGCTCTGGGGGCATGCTCTCAGGCAGAGCTGGCCCCTCTGCTTCAAGTCCCCCAGAGAAGCGAGAAGCAGGATGTTCCTGGGGCTGGAATCAGCTGGGGACTTGAGAGTAATGTCATTGCCGTTTCAAAAGACAGGCATAGTCTCTTCCGCCTGCGCCAGCCAAGGAGACCAGAAGCACAGCCACCTTGCTCAACTTCACCACACAAAGGACAGTGGGGTCAGGAAAGCTTATCTGTCACAGGAGACAGCCCAGAACCCTGCACCTCTAAGACTCAGGGACTTCCTGACCTGTGGGTGACACAGGTCCTCCCCCCCACTGCCCGGGCAGCATTGACCCACCCTGCACACAGCCCAGACCCCAGCCACAAGCGGCACCTCAGCACACAGCCCAGACCCACTGCCTGGGGCACAGACATGCTACCTGGGGCATAGACCCGCTGCCTGGGGTGCAGACCCACTGCCTCGGGTTCAGGTGACGCCACACACAGAGAGGACCAGCAAAGTACAGACAACCAGAACCAAGCCCAAACCCTGCCCTCGCCCTGCTGTGTCCCTGTCACAGCTCCGCAGAAAGGTAAGACTTCCACAATGCCACTGTGGCTGAGGTCCCAGACGGCTCTACAGCTCTCCCATCCAAGAGATCAAAATGAAACAGAATGAGCGCGTGCAAGTGGCCTGGGGTGTGCACCCACCAAGCAGTGCCTCAGAAGAAAGGCCTGGCCATCTTCTGGGAAACCAGCCCCTGAAAACCCTATGAGCGCAGTCCTACGCTGATACACAGGAGGGCGCCGTGAATGTGGGTCCAACTGACACAGCAGCTTTCCCCATGTTTATGCCCCTTCCAGCACGGAGGTTGTACAGCACGTGGCTCACGCACACATCCCACGAGCCCCATGTCCCACAAGCCCCACGTCCCATAAGCCCCGTATCCCCCTGGGCTAGCGTCCCACCGGCCCATGTCCCACCAACTCACTCCGGCCCCACGTCCCTCCAGCCCCGCGTCCCTCCGGCCCCTCATCCCTCCAGCCCCGCGTCCCCTCCGGCCCCTCATCCCTCCAGCCCCGCGTCCCTCCGGCCCCGCGTTCCTCCGGCCCCACGACCCTCCGGCCCCGCATTCCTCCAGCCCCGTTCTGTAAGAGAAAGGCAAACAGAGCATGCCAGTGACCTGAGGCTGCTCAGAAATGCAGACTCCAGGGCCCTTCCCCAGCCCAGCAGCAGCCCCTCGGCCACAGAGCCCAGGACTCTGAGTTTATGGCATCCCAGCTGATTCCAGGCTCCACTTCCAGGGACATTTGGGAATCCCGTTCAACAGCCAGTTTCTCTGGATCTCTGCAGTGTATAAGATCCAGGGCCACTGGCCTGGTCACGGAGCGATCAGGCAGCTGGGACCCACCAGTGCCTCCTCTGGGGAAAAGACAGGGAGTCCGCTCCCTCTGCTCCCGCTGGGATCCCGGAACCGACGGAGGGGCGGCCTGCATCAGAGCCCACCCCACCATGGGCTGTTGGGTTTGGGTTTATTTTATGCTGTAAGGAGCTCTGGTGACACAGAGGCTTAAGCATGGGACCACGAACTGAGAAGTGGGGAGTTCAAACTACCAGCCAGCGGCTCTGAGGGAGAATGAGGAGGCGCCGGCTTTGGTAAAGATTGTTGTGGTTGTTGTTGTTAGGTGCTGTTGAGTGTGATTCATTGAGACTTTACAAACAACAGACCTGAGTCCCGTCCTGTCCTGTGCCATCCTCACTCCCTGACACACTGCCGCCGTCACCGCGTCCATCCAGCTCGCCGAGTCTTCCTCTCTCACTGACCTTCCATGCTTCTTAGCATACTCTTCCTTTCCAAGGAATAGCCCCTTCCAGCAACATGTCATTGGAAGCCCCACAGGGTGGCCCCGCTCTGTCCCACAGGGCGTGATGCATCAGAATGGACAAGAGCACTGTGACGGGGGTGGCATCCTCAGCTAAACCCCAATATGCTACAGGAGACACCTAGGGACCTGTGGGCTTGGACACTCGGCTCAGGTCAGACATTCAGTTCAGGTCTGGCACTCCACTCGGGCTTTGCCCAGCCTCCCTCCTCGAGCTCAGCTGCCAGCATGTACCTTCCCTCAAGGGCCGCCCACCAGGACGGCTCTGCCCCTAGACCACCCATAAGGTGGCCACTCTCTCCAGGCCAGTCCTCAGGGTTCTGAAGGCAGCGTGCATGTGCCTCTAAGCCACAGGTCGGGGCTCGCCGAAGCCCTGCCTTCCCACATGGCAGACCAAGAGCCATGCACACGACCCCAAGAGGACAGCAGCGCCCTGCCTGTGCCGCTGACACTAGCAGGCCTCCTTCCCTTAGGACAGTGCGGCCGCTTCAGGCCCCCAGGACCAGGGCCCCCGGCCCCCACTGTGAAGACAGCATCCCACAGCATCGACGGACAGACACAGGGCAGCCCCCGCCTGCTTACCTCAAACACCTCCTCGTCCAGGATCCTGGTGCCAAAGACAATGATGCCGTTGACATCAATGATGGGGTGGTCGCTGCGGTCCAGGGACTTGGTGATCTTCTTTTTACAGTCTAGGACCAGGGTGACGTTTCTCTTGTGGATGCTGAAAGCAATTCTGTGCCACCTGCCAAGAACCAGACCAGAGAGGCGGGTGAAGGGGGCTCGGGTCGTGAAAGGACGTGAGCAGTTCTGCCCCGGGCTGCTGGGTGTGGCAGAGCCCCAACTTTCTGCACCATCCGGGACTCAGCACTGACCGCTCAGCCTTCGCACCACACGAGCGGGGCTCGGGCCGGCCTCTCGGTGGGGCTGCACGCTTCTCATCTTCACATGAGGACAATCACTCAGTCCTGCAGCCCTGGGGGAGGGGAGCATGGGGAGCGGGGGGTGGTGGGCACTGGGCTTGGACTCGGACGTCAGACACTCGATTCAGGTCAGACACTCTACTCAGGTTCAGACTCCAGGCTCAGGTCTGATGCTCAGCTCGGGCTTGGACGCCAGGACCAAGCATGGACTCAGACCTCCTATCCAGCTCTGGTATGGCTCAGATACCTGGCGTGGACCCAAGACTCCCACATTAGGATCGGGCATCTGGTGGTCACCATCTGACACAGGCCCATTGACACCATGTGACCCCATCACGGGAATTTGCAGGGGCCGATTGCCCCATTCATGCTCAGCGGGTAAGGACAATGTTAGACACTCGGGATCACCTAAGAAGAAAGCCTGGTGAACCTCCAAGCACTCGCAGTTCAAGGCCTCCAATCACTCAGGGTTCAAGGCCCTCCAATCATAGTCCTACTCAGACACACGTGGGGAGAGGATGCAGGAATTAGACCACAGGAGACAAAAGGTAGGCTGTTGGAGCTGAGTGTGGGTGGGAAGTGGGCCTCTCTGATGTGCATAGCCGCCCTGGTGACGGAGGAGTTAAGCTCCTGAAGGCCAGCTCCGAAGGAGAACCACGTGGCAGGCAGCTCCCGGAATGACTGCTGTGGTTGTGCACCGGCAGGTCAGAGCCAGCCCAGAACTGACCCTCCGACAGGTTTTCAGAGGCGGTAAACCACTCAGGAGGTAATCCATCTTCATCTGGCCGAGCAGCTGGTGGGTTTGAACCACGTGCCTTTGAGCTAGCAATGCAGCTCTTTACCAATCGGGCATCGGTGCTCCTACTGTGAACTTGCACTCAACAGCGGCTCAGGGCTGTTATCAGGAAATCTGACGCAGTGAGGGTCACGGGAAGGACGTCCACAAGGCCCGTCAGCATCCAGCCACTGTGCACACTCCCGGCCGGTGGCCAGCTGAGTGTCCAATGGGCTCCTGGCAAGCCTCACATTTTAAATTGTTCTCTCACATCCGTGCTTGAGAGATGCCCTAAATCTTTTCTAGAACAAGCCAAGTGTGAACATGCAACATCCCACATCCCTTCTGACACAAAGAGGCCACTATGTGATGTACTTTAATGTGCTTTAGAAAGAGAAATGGGGCTTCAAGAGGAGAAACCCCACAGTCACGGATAACACACTGAGACCAGAGGGGGGACCATACTCCTGGCACCGGTCCACCCACCTCCGATGCCGACCTCTGGCCAGAGGCGCCCAGCCCGCTCCGTCCCTCTGGCTGCCCAGCGTGCCCACTTACTTCCCATCCGACAGGTTAATGCCTCGGAAGAGCGGGTAGTCCTCCGGGCCGGGCTTTCCCGTGTGGTCCTCGTACAGGAAGACGGGGGAGCGGCCCAGTTCCAGGCCGATCTGCTGAATTCCCTGCTCGTTGTAGATGGACACCAGGAAGGCCTGGCTGCCCTTCTTGGCTTTCACAGTGGCGAGGATGGAGAAGTCCTCGGGGAAGGCGGAGGCTGGAAGAGAGGGAGGAGTTGAAAGGTGGTCAGGAAGCCCAGGCCATGTCCAGCACACAGCTCTCTGCAGCCAGGACCTCTGCACTTGGATCAAGCCACTCCTGCAGCCTTCGCTAACCACCTGTCCAGAATAGCCCCACCAGGGCTCAGCACCGCACAAACCACTTCATGAAACACTCTGGTCCTCCCAGCAGCTCACCTTTAAGACGCTCTGATCCATTCCCATAGCTCAATGCATTTTAATAGAAAATTCTAATGAGACCTTCCAGAATGTCATCTTTTTTGGGGGTAGGACTCTTTCTGATGTGCTTGGACTCTCTGTGGGCCCCAGGGCTATTCCCAGCAGTATCTCATCAGATATCCACAGGAAGTGGAGTGAGGGGCAGAGAGAGAGGCCAAAGATGGACAGGTGTGGATCTTATGCAGAACAACATTTTTCTGTACCAATTGAGATAGAAAGTCAGCCATCCTCTCAGCCGGTGGAATCTGCAGCCTGCAGGCTTGGGGTCTGAGGATGGGTGCACAGGCAAGCTCCCCAGAAATGCTCAGCTTGAATTAAGAAATCTCTCAGAACAGCCAGAAGGAGCAGACCCCCCGGGATGTCAGGCAGGACAAGACAGCAAGGACCAGGGCGTGGACCCACTGCTCCAGACATCTTAATGCTGCTGCCCAGGGCTGGGACTCTGCTTCGTGGGCAGAATCAGTAAAGAAATCCAGCTCAGCCCAGCCCCAGCCTGTCATTAATTGTAACCAGGTTGACAGATGACCCACCGCCAGCCCCACCCAGTGGCAGGACTAGCTACGGTGGCTGCTACACACTCGCTGTCCAGGAGCGCCCTCTGCTGTCGGCATTGCGGTCAGCCAGCAGCATGCCTCTGCCGCTTCAGCTCACCTAGGATGGGGCAAGTGGCTGTGCTGGCCAGACAGGGGCCTCACTGGCCCCCAGGGAAGGAGAGGGCAGGGCGAAGAGGGACTCGGACACCTCTGACCACAAACTCCGGCCCCCAGATGCGGGCACAGAGCTGCATAAACACCTGGTGCGACCAGAGCAGCTACTCTGCAGGGTGACCTTCCAACTGCCCAGGAAACCAAGAGCTGAGCACGGGGAGTCGGCCAGGAGTCGCGAGAGGTCAAGGCCTCTGTCCTCGGCTATATGTGGAAGCAGGGACAGCGGCCAGCCTATGAGAAAGGGCTGGTTTTACTGAGGAACAGCCACGCTGCCTTTCCAACGGGCAGCCATCGGGGACACATCTGTGAAGGTCACCACAGCCACATCCATCCGCTTCACTCTGTCCCTTCTGTTCCAAACCTCTGTGGCACCCCACCTATCAAGGCATACCAACCAGGGGGATACGCCAACCATGGGGACAGACCAACCAGGGGGACACGCCAACCTCCCAGAAGGCCCAGATGTATGGCCTGCGGTTGGTCACAGCACCCGTTTGTTCCCTGCAAATGACGCCAGTCAGCAGTCTGTCCTGGGCGGCTGCTCAATGGCCCCAGTCAGTGACCTCCAACTGCTGACACTGTCACCGTCCTGTAACTCCGGCTCAGATGACAAGCCTGCAGGGAGGTCTCGCCCCTGGGCCACCCCTGTGTGCCCTGCTGCCCTCCACCTCCTGGCAGCTCATTAAAAGGCTGCTTCTCCATCTTTAAAATTGCGATGGAAACAAATGTTTCCTCAGGACAGAGCCAGAAAGGATAAATTATGGTTAACGTTCATCTATCTCCCTGCAAAAGAACAATGATTTACTGTCACTTTGGAGGTGTCCATTCTGCAGCTGACACGAGCCGGCGTCCACATGGCCCATGGCCTGGGCTTCTGGGACGGGGTGGGCTCTCAGAGAGGAGTCCAGGGGAGGTGGGCGGCCAGGGACTGATGGCTGCTGGGCTCAGACCCTTTTCACTTCAACCGAGGCCTGAAGGCCCTGGAGCACTTGGGATACACAGTAGGAGTTTAATAAGTGCATCTGTGATTGAACTCAGGACGCTCTGGTGGCCGAATGGTAAGGAGCTGCACTGCCATCCTGAAGGCACGTGGTTTGAAGCCCCAGCTGCTCTGCAGGAGGAAGGTCAGCAATCTCCCCTCGTGTGATTTACCGCCTCTGAAAACCCACTGCAGGCTCTTCAGCTCTGAGTCAGCTCGGAAACGACGACGGAACTAACTCCCTAAACCACGCGAGCGGTTCCTGGGGACATCGACTGCTCACTTCATCGTCTCTGTCCTCACTGGCCCCCACTGTGCTGCACCACCGCGGGATGGACCCAGGGGACAGAGCAAGGCAGGCATGGCCCCTGCCCGCAGGAAGTTAATGAGGAGACAAGGCCAAGTCCACGGACTCATCACAAGCCACTGAGGGGCTCTGATGGAGACAAGAAGGACATGGGGGCAAAGAGGACTAAGTGTGGCCAGGTGGGCAGGTGGGTCCTCCGAGGAGGCGACAGTGCAGGGGACAGCTGGAAGCTGAGAGGTGCTGGCTTGGAGGGCAGGTCCATGGATCCAGGGAGGGTCGTGCAGAGGAAACCCATCCCCGCAGAGTTCCAGTACCAGGACGACTGGAGGCCCTGCCCTGACCAATGTGCAGACATGACAATCCTGAAAAGTATCTCTCGAAAATTCCTTGGTTTTAAAGGCAGGCTGAGAAACAGCTGGGCGTGCAAGGGCCAGAAGATGTGTGGACACAGCTGATAAAAGCTGAGGCCCTCCCTGGAACCAGGAGGACTGATAAGAGTCAGATTCATACCCAGGTCCCAGGCTGGGGACTCCCGCAATCCTTGTCTTAGAACGATGGGCATCTGCCTTCCTCCGTGGACCAGAGAGAAGCACAGCTTCCAGTCCCAGGACTAGAGGAGCAGCCCCTCTGCGGCTATTTACACGTGTCCAGATGGACTTCAGGGTTTCACGGGGGGAAGACAACACACTGCCTAACGCCAGGTGACGGGGACACACTGCCCAAGGTCAGGGGACGGGTACACACTGCCCAAGGCCAGGGGACGGGGACACACTGTCCAAGGCCAGGTGATGGGGAAACACTGCCCAAGGCCAGGTGATGGGGACACACTGCCCAAGGTCAGGGGACAGGGACACGCTGCCCAAGGCCAGGGGACAGGGACACGCTGCCCAAGGCCAGGTGACAGGGACCACCTGGATGTCATCTGGGTGTGGGCATTCTTCCCACTTTGGGCATACAATTAAAAGCAAGGATCTAGCACCTGGCAATAGAACCTTGTGGAAGCCTCTGTGACTTGCTGGAGTGGAGGTGTTTGATTCGTGCATCTCTTAATGCTGTTACCCCCAGTTAAGTACCTATCTGAGCACACTTCCTGTCCCCTGACCCAACAGCTTTTGCCTCGTCACCCAGCAACCATCCACCTCCTTCTGGAGGCTCCCGGTTGCCAGGAGCACAAGTCTGGGCTGTCTGGTTTCCCTCTATAGTGAGACCAAGCAAGGGCTTCAGGGGACACTGAGCCTGCCCTCCAGGCCGTGTTCCTCCTGGAGGCTAGTGTGTTAGTGTGCACTGGCATACTCACCGGGGTACAGCTGCCTCGTGGGTGCGCTGAGCTGGGCGTCCTTGGTGACTCTATAAGCGACGTCTGGGCCTTTGGAAGACCGCCGGGCAGCACAGAAACCTGTCGTCTTCGTAATGCCATCAGGCAAATTGTGGAAATCTAGAACCTTCAGGAGATCAGCTGGCTGAGCTGAAATGACAGGCAGGAGAGGTGGGATTAGCCATGAGAGGGAGGGGAGCAAGCTGTACTGATCCCACCCAGAAAATAGCCCGGGGCATTTGGAATCAGAATCCCACACACCCCCGGCACCTCAGCACAGAGGCAGGGCTATCGCTGACCCAGACTTCTCTCTCACAGTGCATCCTACAGTAGCCACACGTCAGCCAGTCCCAGGAGGCTCTACTCCATCACCTCCTGCCTTTGATATTTGTAGCCTACTGCTCCTTTGCACCACGTGGCTGTCACTTTGTGAGGGCTTGAGAGCAGTTAGGATGCTGGAAGCTCTGCCAAGGGTATTTCACATACCAGCAGGGTCACCCAGAACAGATCATTTTCAGCGGAACTTGCAGACTAAGACTAGCAAGAAAGGTCTGGTGATTTATGGTTAAAAATCAGCCCATGAAAACCACTGGCGCATCCAGTGCAGGAAGATGCACTCCCAGGTTAAAAGGCACCCAGGGAGCTCCAGTGGCTTAGTTGTAAGGAGTAGTGCTGCCAACCCAAGGGCACATGGTTCAAATCCACCAGCTGCCCTGTGGTACAAAGATGGGCAAACTCCTCTCGAGCAAGTAACTGTCTGAAAACCTGCTGGAGAGGCAGCCATGAGTTCATTCTGATTTGATGGCACGTAACCACAACAATAAAAAGGAAAATCAACAAAAAGACACTCAAAAGTCACCCGGGCTGGGACCCTGGACTGGAGCTGACCGTGATGGTGACGCAGGAGCACAGACGATGCTGGCACAGGGGCTCTGTCCGTCTGACTGCACTCCACCTTACCGAGCTTCAGAGACACTGCATTTCTCTACATGTGGGTTGTGGCAATGCTAGTGTGTAGGTGCCACTCTTCCAACAGCCTGTGCTCGATTCGTGTCACGCGTCCTCTTTTGGACTTTTACACAACACGTCAAGATTTTCATCGTTCCGGTTCACACCTCAAACACTTTATCAGCTCGCTCTCATCTAACCGGAGCTGACTCAGAGCGGTCCCTCCGGGGACTTTTCAGAGGCTGTACACTGGACGGGGACAGCCTGCTCCTGTTTCTGAGGCTCCACTGCGGGATTCGAGCCCTTAGTGAGGCCTCTGAGAGAGCAGCATCACTCCCTACCGGCCCCCCAGCGCTGAGCACAGCCCGGCACGGTGCAGATGTAAATCTACACGCTCCGGAAAACTGGAAAATGGGACTTGAAAAAGAGCGGTATTTGCATTCTGTGATGGTCTGGAGCTGACCCCACACCTCCAACGAGAGCCCGTAAAAGGGGTTGGTGGGGAACCCCCATGCCCGAGCTCTCACGGCTGACCAGGAGGCTGATGTCCGCCCCACGGCCCACAGCCACGGCGTCTCCTGAGTCTCAGAAGGAGACCACCCTCTCCCCTGACTGTGGGTTGTGGAGTGAAGCCTATGTGCTGCAGAGCAGGACTGCTCCACGGGTCCCCTTGGCTGCCGTCTTAAGAGACGCAGAGTGCCAGCCCTTTCCTCTGCCGTTCCACTGGGTGGGTTCAAACCACTAACCTCTAGGTTAGCAGTTAAACAGCAGCACCCCAACCCCACAGACTCCCACCTCGCTGGGTCATCTTCACAAGGTGCTGGTCCCTGGGGGCGGTGCGTTAAGTGTTGGGCTGGTAAGAGAAAGGCTGGCGGTTTGAATCCACCATTCCCCTTCTCTTTGTGGGAGAACCAGGAAGCCTCTCCGGGTAAGATCTGACATCTCAGAAAGCTGAAGGAGGGTCACCAGCAGCGGAGTCCACAGGACGGCCTCCGGAGGAGACAGGAAGTGGAAGCGAGTGAGCGCTGAGCAGTCTGCAGGCTCTTTGTGAAATTTCTCCATCCTTTCTGGACTGTGTCGCTGGGGAAAGGCCCGCTAGGCCGCCATTGGCCGGTTTCCTCCCTCACGTGAGCCAATGAAATGCAGTCTTCCCATCACAGTCTCCCCTTCCTTCCAGGAATCTGATGCCCGCAATGTCAGGATGAGGCAGAGCTGAGGGCAGGGGTGTGCTGGGACCTGCAGTGTTGTGGGTGGTTCCGACCCTGGGTCAGGTCTGGACACTGAAGGGCTCCTGGAAGCAGAGGGCGGTCAGGTCCTCATGGGGACTCCAACACACAGCACCCTGCTTGTATGGGAGCTGGGCTGCGCCCAGTGGGGCTTTCAATCCCTGAGTTCCCTGAAGCTGGTTGCCAGGCCTTTCCTCCGAGGGTCCTCTCTGTTTGAATGGAGCCTGTTAGCGGCTTCAGTTTCCCAGAACACAGAAGGTTCTGCCTCCACTGGGTGAGGTCCCAGATCTGCCTGCTGGCGCCATTCAGGCCCCAGACACCCCAGCCTTGTGTGGAAAGTCCAGCTTCTACAGGCCCCTGGGCAGCCTGGGCAGAGAAAATGAGCTGAGGTTGGGCTGGTGTCTGAGGGACACATGAGGAGAGGGAGGATGTCATCAGGGCTCCTCTCTGTCTTCTCCAAGTCCCCAGCCCATGTCCTCCTCTGGGAAGGCACCATGGACCCATTTTTCTGGCACCTGGTCCAGTGGCCGGTCTCTACAACAGGCCTTGCTACATGCCGTCTGTGAATCAAATCAAAGAGGCCAGAGGCTAGAACTGGGGACCGCCCGCACCCGTACAGACCTCTTACCAGGGACGGGGCAGAAGGAGAGAGATGGGCACCAAGACACTGCACCCAGTGGGGTCTGCCCCTCGCTGGCCCAGCCCTGTTCCCCATGGCCCTTTGACCTCTCCAGTGCCCAGCTCCCATGCAGTGTGGTGGTCCTTCACTGACTAGCGGCCCCCATCCAGTCTTTCCAGCCCTTCTGGCTGCTTACAGACTGGACGCTGGACACAGCGCCTGTCTGCAGGTGCCTGGCAAGCTACATGGCACAGCCCCAGGCCTGGCCTCCGCCAGTGGGCACCGCCGGCCGTGCAGGCGCCAGTTCACCTGCAGGACAGGATGCGGTGTTGTGCATGACTCACATCTGAGAGGTGGGGCCAAGGCCAGCGGTGACTCGAGAAGGGGGTGCGGCCACGTGGGCTCTGGGATTCCCATCACGGCCAGTCTGCAATGGGCTTCCCAGGCCTGGCGGCTCCAGGGCTACAGGCAGTGCTGTCTGCCAGTGGCGTGGGCATGTTTACAGGCCTCTTACAAGTGGACGAGGCCACAGCCCTTTCCAGGCTCAGTGCCACTGCCCTCTGGCCAGGAGCTTCCTGTGCCAGCGTGAGGGATGTTTTGAAGTTTGAAGAAGGTGCGGAAGGGCCTGGCAGGGATCTGGCAGGACCCAGTGTTCTGTGAACTTCCTGTCCAGGGGACAGTCCTCGGCTCCATGGCCATTTCTAGACAAACCCCAAGCCTCAGTTTCTCTAACAGGAAGAAGACTGCAGGGAAACAGCCAGCTCGGGGGACAGTTACGGGCACTGAAACCTAGAGAGGTCACACCTGAAGCAGCTGCCCATGTCACTGGCCTCTCTCTGTCCAGGAGGCAAGAGAAACATCTAGCCAAGCGGAAGTCCAGCTCTTCAGTCCCCTTCTCCAAGCACTGTCCCTCCTTCCCACTCTCCTTGACCCTGAGCAGAGACCCCAACACCATCAGCCCCCCTAACCCTCTGTGCACCCTGCTTGGTCAGAGGAGACAGAAATGATACACACGTCAGCATCCAGCAAGCTGGCTCTGCTGTGGGGTGGAGTGGCCACTTGCTCCAAACACCAGACTCACGGCCATGCAGTCAGACCAACTCCAGCTGAGCCTCCACTGGGCTTCCATAAACTGCGAGGGAGGAGATTGGCCATCTCTCGCCCTCAGAGCAGAGAGAGGTCTCCAGCTGCCTCTGCAGTGCAGCTCGCTATGAACTAGCCCACAGAGCTCCTGGCGGCCACGTTAGATACGCTTACGTTGACGTTGTTGTTGTTAAGTGCCACGGAGCCAGTTCTGATTCTCAGCGACCCTATGTTCAACCCCGCACAATTCCTCGCGCCCCATGCCATCCTCACAGGCTCCAGCCTGCTACGTGGTCGAGCCCTGGTCAACCTATCTCAGTAAAGTGCTTCCTCTCTTCTTCTGAGCCTCTGCTCTTCCCGGCATGATGTCCTCTCCAGGGACTTGCCCTCGTGACAGCATCCCAAGCAAGCAAGGGCTTCATTTCACCATCCTTGCGCCTAAGCAGCTCACAGGCCAAACTTCTTCCAAGACTGGCTGGCTTGTCCCTTTGTCTGTGGCATATGCAGTATTTTTTGCCTGCACGACAATTCAAGGGCATCAGTTCTTCACTTTGCTATTTCAGTGTCCACCTTCCACATGAAAAGATACACCTTTAGGTCCGCAGATTCTTCTCACGCAGCAGACGGCGAACGTGCATCAGCTACCTTTCAGTCAGCAGCTGGCACAGGACTTAAAGAATTCGGCTTGGTGACCTAAGGTCAGGAGTTTGAACCCACCAGCCGCTCCATGGGAGGAAGAAGAGGCAGCCTGCTCCCTTACAGCGGACGCCAGATGCGGCCCCTTCGGGCCCCACCTTCCTCCCCATGCAGAGTCCTATGCTGCAGTGCGGAGCTGAGACCATGCTCCCAGATGCATGCTGGGAAAGGTCAGGGTACAAGTCTGAGTCCACCAGTCGGGAGGCCAAGGTCTTCTTCCCTCTGGACACGCTGGTGGCAGTGTCTTGGGATACAAGCCAGGGAAGCCACCCCTGGGAGGCCATCGCAGGTCTGGACCCGAGTCCCAGGGCCAGGGGCCAGCTTCCTGGGGACCTTTGGCACAGACCACAGTTCCAGGAAATCTGAAGGCTGGCCACATCCCTGTGGGGGCGTGACTTGGAAAGCAGGCATCCCACGAGGCCTCTGGACCTCCAGCAACCATGCTGCATTTTTCTGTGCACCCCAAGGACTGCTTGACGAGAAGAGCCATCCTTTAGCCACCAGCACAAGCCCCTCTGAGTCAGTCTCCACCAGGCACGCAAACTCCAGCTCCACCACCCCCATCAGGCCAGCTTCAT